AGAATGGGCTCTCCTCGAGACCTGCGAGCCTTGGCAACGTTGAGAACACAGAACGGGATCTGTGTGAAGATGAGAGAGCCGAGGATCAAACCAACCCAGACATCCTTGAAGCTAGTCTCACCGAGGAGCTCAGCAAGGCCGGGAAGACGATCCTTGATGCCATTAGCCAGAGGAATGGCCCAGACACCAGGTCCCCAAATGCCAGAAATTATCATAATCGCGCAGGCGATGAGAATGCCCTCTGTAGGACCGTTGATGTAGCCGAGGAAGAGAGTGTGCGTGTGGTATGTCTCCCAGGTCGAGAAGAACATAGGCAGGCAAGGGCAGAGCGCAGTGACGATACCAGCTGTAGAGGTTCCTAGGCCCATAGAAGCGGTTCCGAGCAGACTTCCCAACGTGCAGTTGAGGGAGTCAATACCGTGGTCGAAGAGTTCACCGAGGCCGCTCGAGGTTCCGGTTCGTCGCGCTTGCTTTCCGTCGAGGTTGTCCATTGTTTGGTACATGAAGAGACCGAACGCGAAGCTAAAGTACAGCCATGATGGAGCCTATGCACGTGTTAGTGCGCAGTTAATAGCGAGTTAGCAGTTGTAACATACCGGTCCAACCAGATCAGGCATCCAAATTGCGCAGAGGGCAACGTTTACGAGAATGAAGCAGAAACCCAAAAGAGTGACCATGTTGGGAGCAATCCATAATGGGAGGAGGTTGACAGAGGCGTTCCACTATATGACGAAATGTTAGCCTTCTCGCTTTAAACTTGGTAGAACAGGTAAAGCGCTTTAGTTGACGCTTAAAGATTGTCGATAGGAATATAGAGAAATAGCTCGAGGCTGAGGTGCACGTACGAAAGGACCTAGAACGTATTTCGAGACTGGCGACATGTCGACACTTGAGTACTTGTATGACTTGAAGTGCACAAGTGCGTCATCAGAGATGCACTCGGCAACATTCTTCTCTGTTAAGACACCATAGTTAGTCTCCAGCTCATTTCCCACGATTCGAGGCGACCCCAGTGATCAGGTTGCCTCCCATGGATTTCTTCGACTTACTCGTGTTGGGCGCCATGTTGGTACCGTCCGGGTCAGTGGCCGATGGGTTGTAGAGCGGGAGTGTCTCGCTTGTAGACATGATGGAAAGAGAGGGGCCGGAGGAGGAGGGGCAACCAAGAATCTTTTAAACAGGATAAGGAGAAAAAAAAGTTATCGGCAAAACCCCCCAAAGATCGGACCTGCAGAAGTGTGCACGCGGAAAAGTATCTCGTGCAGCAGCAGGGTACAGTACTGAATAGGAACTCAGGCCCGCAAACAATAAATAGCCCTCGGTTGTTTTTCTCAACAAAGGTAATCCTAACAGAGACAGGCGACGCGGCACGTGGGTACAATGCTCGATTGTAAATAGACAGATGATCGCAGAGCAGTAGTAGTGTAGCTCTTATCGACAATGGCAGAGACGGGTTTCAAGCCAAGGAAATATGCGACGGAGCTGATTTGCGCAATCGACCGGGAGGGCTGAGACAGAGCAAAAACGGTCTCCAAGAATAGCGGTGAAGCGTGGGACAATGAGTTAATACAATGTAGAGTATGCGTCGATGAACAAACGTCGCCAAAAGGGCTTTTGTTTGTTTTAAGAAAAGAAAGGATTGGAGAAGGTTTAAAGGGGGCAGGTTTTGCTCACTCCATCGACTCGAAATTGGCATTGAACTTTCGAGTCTCTCGCACTGGTGTCGTCGTACCAGCCAGTCAAGCCCCCTGGATCGTAAGCCCCCTGCGCACAGCAGCGATCTGGTCCACTACAGGGGAAACAGACGTCTAAAATTGGGTAATTAGCGGCTTATTTACGTATTGGAACTCGTTCTTTCAGAATAAAAACCATCGGTCTGACAGCTAACGAACTAGGTCAAACTTGCGTCCATGACCCCTTTACTGACTCGACAGCTACCAGATCTCAAAGTGAACTCTTCGAGATACCCTCATGTTCATCTTACCAAACAGGATCCGCAGGTATGTGCCCAACCTCGCATTGTTATTGTGTCCCGAGATCGTCATGAATTCCATCCGTCAGAGCCGAGAAGATGGGTCCCGCCACTTTTGCATTGAGTTTCACATGCCCTTCTAGGCTCGTGAGCGCGTGAGCAATAACACTATCAACAAGAATACGAACTGGTCATTCTAGCGCCATTCGATGGAAGGATGGGTGCGAGTCAGCAATAAACACTGTACAGCGGCTGTTTGGTTGATCCGATGGCCCAGTTGAAAGTCTAGAACATCAAAAACTCCCCAGTAACATGGAATGTGGAGTGACTTAACATCAGTTGTTGGTAAAAGTTATTGAATGAAACTCCACCTCGATTCATGACCTCGAAATATCAAATGGCTATTTTGCTGGACATCGTTGGTTAGTTGCCACTTCCTAAATGGTATATCACATCGGGCTTAGTTCTCGAGTTTATTCAGTATGTGATGGTTGGACTGCAACAAAGCAGCCAATGACGTTATATTCGTCTTTTTACTAACCACTCATCACTTTCTGTTCTCCTTTGACAGTACCCGTATTAATGCTGTAAGAGGGCATTGCCTGTATCAAAATCATAAAAACCAACAATGTACCACCAGAAAAGACAACCCAACACCTAGACGTCCAAGGCTTTCAAGGAATGTATGCGCAACAAAAACAAGAGAATTGAATCAATGTAGATTTCCGCCCCGAGCAGTGTTGCAAGGAGCTGATAAGCGTTTTCACACGCTTATAGCATGGCAAAGCCGGCGAACATGGTGCTTAGGACAATAGTCAGACCCCATGTTCGGCCAACCTCGATGACAGCAGCGCCATTGCTCTTAGTTGACTCTGCGGTGTCAGAATCGTCGTCGTTGTTTTCACTTCCGGGTGTGTCGGTGTAAACCGTGTTGGCGTCGTCAGTAGCGCTAGCTGTGGCCTTAACAGTACCAGTGCCTGTAGCTGTGGAAGTTGTGTTGTATTTCTTGGGGTCTTCAGCACCGCATGGGTTGTTCTCTCGGCAGTCAGAGGCACAAGAGGCTTTGCCGGCACAATCCGTGACACACTGGTTACCCCATTCTTGGCAGACGTAGAAGGGAAGGGTGAGGGAGTATTCGGACACGTTAGGTTGCTTTCCGTCACCGCAGATGCAGCCATAAGTGAGGGTTTTCTGAAGTAAACTGGGTTAGCCTATGCCAACTGGTCCAAGAGCCGATAACAAGACTTACGGGATTGCATTCGTTGACCTTGGTATCTCCCTTACTAGTTTGACCACAGATCATGGGACATGTCTCTATTTCGTTCTGGCACCAAACCTCTGCATGCTGTTAGCCGACGATCTTGGCAAGTTCTGTATGGAAGAATGCTACTTACTGCGTAGGGACAGAGGCACGCTCTCAGGGTCGATCACGTAGTCGGCGTTGACAAGAGTGACAGCCGAAGCCGCAGTAGCGAGGACGATTGTTCGAAGAGAAGGCATTATAATGGCGTATCGGTGCTTGAAAACAAAAATTGATTGTGTTTTATGCTGGTAGGTATATACACCGGTTTATATCAGATGTTCAAAAGTTGGTAAACGGTGAAGATTGACAGAAGATGGTTTGCTTCTGCAGAGGGTCAGCGGTTTTATCCTAACAGATAGCTATATTTTGTCTTTCCCGAATCTGGGGAAATTGGTATTGATCGTAAGGTATGTAGGAGGGAATCACTAAGACAACAGGAGGGGAGAAGGTGCGGTCTCGCCGTTGCTTGACTTACAAAGCAAATTGGAACTTCAACGGAAATGGGAGCGACAGTATGAATAGAATATCGGAATGAAAAGTTAGCGACTGTTCAAGACCAGGTCTGATATAGCGAGTGTATCAACTGAGGTGAGGAGAGGAAAGAAGAAGCTGAGAAAAAAAAGGTCGAGGAGGTCCGAGACATATCAACGATGGGGCCCGGCCTATCTGCTCCTACGGGGCACAACATACAGACAGACTATAATGCTGTAAGCGGTAAGCCCAAAGACCCCAGTTACTCGCTACAGCCGAGCTATAGTGTTAAGAGAAATGATCTGGTGCCATATACATAGCGAGACCCGAGGCTGGGCAATATCACGACGACGGATGGTGGATGGAGTTGCACCAATCTCCCCCATTAGTTCTGACAGGGTGCAGGGAAGTTGAGCAGCGAAAAGTCAAGATTGGGTTTAGCTCTGCTTCACACCAACCAGGCATGGGAGGTTATTTGCTCCATATCGCCCGCCACTCGGCGCATTTTGTACACGGAAAACCCCAGTACCCGCCAGAGGCTAGGCCTCATAGACTCGACTGGTACGGCTCGCCGCTGGAGCTTGGGCTTTTTAAGGGTGGTCTGGGGAGTTTAACCTGAAATCCCATAAATTGTAATCTCCAGGGCCCTTGGGTTTAACAGACACCATTAAAAGGAGTCGATACTATCGATTTTATTTCCAAAAGCCCTGTCTTTTTTTCCATGATCTTCAGCAGATCCCAATGGAGATCTCATTCAACTCCATGGGTTGTCGGTTGTCTCTCTCCCCCGTCATGGCCACGCGGGTCGTGGAGGAGCCAATACCTCGTTTCTTCTGAACCACCTGTCTCATCTGCTCATCAATCTTGGCTTGGTGGCGCGAACGGCCAAAGGTTGTCGACTCCACATAGGTAATCTTGAGCCGTCAAGCCCACTGTCACTGCTACTAACTACTGCACCTGCAACATTTGTTATGAGCGTCTTTTCATTGTGCATCAACGAGTGCATCTTGAATCACGCCAACGACGCGTTCCAGTTGGTGGTTGAGGCTGTCCACAACAAGTACGAGCCCACCATGATCACATTGGAGGCTTTCTTATGGAGAAGTAGCCACTCGGATGCGAGAATGGTGGCCAACTCTTCCCGTAAAGGGTAACTATGATTTCTACTAGGCATCTGGACCAGCCGATACCCTTCGTATTTCTTGCATGTAAGCGGGGCATGGCACTGAACCCTCTCTCTCTCAACCCCGCGCAATGCACGCCGACGATGACATGATGCTTGATATCGCGCCAATCGTTGGTGTTGAGAGTATCTTTGTTCTGCTGCTCAATGCTGCTGACGCGGCCGGAGAAACACTTGGCGTGCGCTTTGAATACACACACTTGTTGAGCCGTGTCCATAACTGTTCACTTTTTGTGAGGTATCAGACATGACAGTTGGTGAATCATGATCTGGTCTTCCAATATCGGAGGTGGTTTCACCGTTTCTGTGGGCTGAGACAAGTAGTCTACTGTACAAGAGCGGAGTGCAGTTATTGGGGACGACTTGAAGACAAGACTCGTCACCCAAGGATAGCACCCTATCAACTGTACGAATCCTCGTATCGTTTATTCGTGTTTGGTGCATTCTAGCACCGGTTGGATCGCGGAATCGCAGGATCTACCCACTCATGGCTTAAACTATAACAGATAACTCTATCTTAGCCACACCCCATGGCTTTGAAGATGTTAAGGTAAGGTTACAAGAATCTCACTGGGGTCACGATGAAGCTCCTCGTTTCTTGTGAAATCTAATCTGGCCATCAAAGCCCAAGTTCACGCGTATCCCGATTATTCCATGCAGTCGAGCCACCCAGGCGCCACGGCGTCTTAGAAGTCCTTGTTAAGCCGTCAGCCTCCCCATTTCCCTGCATTCCACTGCGAAGCTGCGGTTGGTCCAGAGCATGTGACAATGTCTCATGATAGACGAGAGCTCAGTGGCTTGGAAGAGAGCTGACAGAGCCTCATGTGTCATGCTGTCCAGTACATACTTCATCTTGTCACTTGTTGAGACATCGACTCTGCCGATTGGACTCCATGCATTCCGAAAGCTTAGGTATTCGGCATCCGGCCCGGGAGTCTTTCCAGTCCGTCACGGAACGGACATGGCTTTTTCAGCTCCGGGATCAAGTATATCATGAGTGCTTGCTATGGATACCTGGACGCACTGACATCTTTCTTTCACAAACAATGCCCACTCTTCTTATGTTTGACTCCAGAGTAGCAGTATAAAGACAAAGGAATGGCATAAGTATGTCGACAGTGCCGGAAAGACAGGCAAACTCTTTCAGATTTGATCCAAAATCATAACCTTATCTGTCGCCTTCTCACATCGTATAGTCATGAGCGCTGTTGACAAGTAACCATGACCTGAAATCAGCTACCGGTGTGTTGTTCTGAGTTGTAGTACCATTGACCGGGGCGCCGGCCCCTCCTCAGCCGGAAAAAGACAAGCTGCACAGACGGCCCGTCAACGGTGCCGTCCATACAGGAAAGGGAAGGTGCAGAAGAATTTCTACGACATCACTTTCATCCTTTCAATTGAAACGACTTATCGCCACCTTCGCAAAGAATCATGTCTATGGTAGAATTCCTTGCCCAACTTTCAAGTTAAGCTTCACTTATCATTTCCCCATAATCTGTCTACTCGCTTGACACAACTTCTTAATCCTTGCGATTAAGGTATCGACTACTGCACACTACCAAAAGCAGGGCTGCAATTCTTGGGCTGGTATTCTGACTCGCAAATACGACTTCAACCATTCATCAACATCAACATCATTCGACTGGATCGACTGAATCATCATTACCATATTCTATAATACTGTTTTCTGCCATCGAACCACTTGTAAACCGAAACTCTCGACGTCAGCACATCGACAATTTCCCCATCAGCGACTTTCGATATCCACAACTAGAGTGATCAGTTATCGTATGGTTGGATGGCGACTGCAATAGACCAAGCGCCCGGTGGTGGAAACTTGGGCTCCCGCGCTTCACTTCCGGGCAACGTTGAGACACAGACCATTTCCACCGAAGCATTCGAGACACCGCGCACATCTCTTGACAATGACAACAACCCACGGCATCTCTCTACGTCGTCTCCACTGTCACCAGTGACCTCCCCGCCGTATTGGCTGAACACACGCGGTGGACATCAACGGACGATTTCGAACATGTCGACCGAATCGTTTCTTCCAGCTGGCGCCATTACACTTCGTGACAATGAAGCGAGCGACCTCGATGACCGTAACAGTGCTTGTTGGGCCAAAAGTGTTGAGATCGCCAATCATACCGTAGTCAATGGCAGCGCGACAAATATCGGGGCATTCGTAGTGTGGAACATACGTGTCGAAACTCTCAATGTGAGTGATTGGGCGGCTCGATGGTGGCTTGTTGGGCTGGACATTAACAATGAACTGACTGACCGACCCCGCGAATAGGGAAGCTTTATGAACATTCGAAAACGTTATTCGGAGTTTGATGATTTTCGATATCGGCTGGTTCAGACCTTTCCCGGCTTTGAGGCGGCTGTTCCGGCCCTTCCGCCTAAGAGTGTTATCTCAAAATTTCGACCTCGATTTTTGGAAAAGAGACGGGCTGGTCTACAATACTTTCTCAAGTGCGTATACCAATGTCTAACCTTCCAACATTATGCTGATTTTGTAGTTGCATATTACTGAATCCAGAGTTTTCTGGGTCGCCTGTACTCAAGGAGTTCCTCTTTGCATAACGCTGCCATTGTTCCAGCATCTTCTCTTCGTTACAAATGTTTACCTTCTGACCTTGAATATGAGGCCTCTTTGTACAAACCATATATATAGCTTCGGCCTGGTGTCACGCACATACATATGCGCCGGTCAGGTGTCCATGTTAATGATAATGAGTTGGATGACTTACGTGTTAATGTCTTACAGTTGGTCCTTTATGCTGCTACGAAGTCGGAGTTGTCATTACGCGGCTTTGGTTGATTGGGAGGCCAAGACAGTACCAAGATTTGGCAAAGATGGGGAAAAGAGTCAAGACTCTATCAAATCCATACCAGTTGTTTGCCAAGGCGGTAGCTGCTGCACTCAGTGGCATGCCATCGCTGGGCGTTTGAGATGTCGTGACAGAAAGGGCCGGGCATAGCCGCCAGAGTGCGGTATGATGTTTCGGTCAATTCAAGGGCTGTGCAATTTTAGGCTCATTCCGTGTGGTTAAGTTGCTTTCTTCCTTGGGCCCAAGCTTCTCATAACGGTATGATAATATGGCTGAGTAGGTATGATGAAGCTTTGTTTGGCTAACAAGGCAGTATTGGATATTCGTTTCTGCCTCATGTTTATTAACCCAAAGTCAGTATGGACCAGCATTTTACGACGTGCCTGGCTAGCTTTAACTGTCATTTAGATTAATTAAGCACAGAGTCTAGATGCTTATTTACGCCTATGCCAATCATCAACGCGAAGAGTTGTAAAAAGGTACCCACAAGGCGTAGCCAGATTTTTCGGGTCCTTGGTCGTAAACGGCAGAACCGGCATGGGGACTTACACAATGGAACTCGGACCAATCAAAATATAGGAACTTTGGTTGTTAAATGGCACGTCCAGAGGGCTGAGTCGCTGAAAGGCTTGGAGGTTTACGATGATGCCAATAATCTTGGACATCTCACATGATTGCCAAGTGCCGTTCTTCCGGGACAAGGACCTGCAAGTTTTCTGGGCATCGACTTGTGTTTGCATCAGTTTCAAGAGCATAGTTATATAAAGATCTGGGTTCCGGACCAAGAGATTCAACTCATAAACACTAATGATCAAGTATAAGCAGGTTTTCTTCTTCTCTTTCTGTCCATATTCTTGGTCAGTCAGTCATTTGTACAAATGCTTGATTATAACTTGAAATCATCGCCAACTTTGGGTTACGCCCCCACAGTCTGTCCAACTGACCCCACGAACATGACGCAACTCGATATTCTAGAACACCGTTATTTAATGTTACCGGTTTTAGCACCAGTCTCAGACAATATGGAGGGGACCCCGCGACAATCACCGTTAACAATACCAACCCGCGTTGACTCCAAATTCTCCCTCGTCAGCACTGCGTCATCTTCTGTTACTACTGCCTCTATTAGTGGTTCGTCGTTTGCGACCGCCGCTAAAACAAAGGAATACATGGAATCTCTACGTCCTCCTTCACCAAAACAATTTGAACGAATTGCTTTTGTTCAACATCAGCGCGAACAAGAAACAAAGCGCAGAAATCGTGAACGCAGAAGATGGTCCCGCGAAGTCCAGCGTCAGCGAGACAGAGCAGCTAGTATGTCAACCAACAACAGTCAGGACGATCAGGCGCAAGCTGCGCGCACTATACAAAAGACATTTCGGGGCTACCGCGCAAGAAGAGAACTCGAGGGATTTGGCTTAGACGCAAGTACACGATGGGTTACAGCGATACGTGAGGCGCAATTTCGAAACGCAACAATACCAAGGCCCAGAATAGAATTAGACAACGATACTACCGACAAATCAGAAGAAGATCATGTTGCGAAACATAAATCAGCGAATGCTCGCGAGAAGTGGAAGAAGGCCAGTGCGATCGCACGACGAGCTGGCCATGATGATCTGTTATCCGATTCCTCTGAATCTGAATCTTCTTCAGATGAAGATGCCTCACCCGAAGAACGAGCTGCTGCACGAGCGCGGCGGGAGAAAGCCACCGCTGCTCGCAGGCATGAGGCGCGCATGATGGGCATCCGATACTTTCTCGAAATGGTAGATCAGAAACACCGCTATGGAAGCAATCTATGCAGATATCATGAAGTCTGGAAGCAAACAGATACCAACGAGAATTACTTTTACTGGCTCGACTACGGCGAAGGTCGCAATATTGAGATTGACGGCTGTCCGAGAGACAGACTCGAAAGAGAGCAAGTTCGATATCTTTCTCGTGAGGAGCGCCAATACTACTTAGTCGAAGTCGACAATGAAGGAAGACTATGCTGGGCAAAGAACGGCCAGCGCATTGATACTACAGAGCAGTTCAAGGATAGTATGCAAGGCGTGGTACCTTTGGATGATCCCACACCAGCCTTCAATGCTGCTGCTCGGTCAACAGATTCGAATTCCCACGATTATGCTAGTAGCTCAAGTTCGGAATCTTCACTCGAGTCTGAACGAGAAGCAGACCGGGCGGCTAAGTATGCAACTCCTGGTTACGACAACAAGCAGGGTATGCACAAGGTATCACAGATTTCAGCATCCACGATATTCAACAAAATGATGCGCAAGTCCGTTAGAAAAAACACTTGGATATTTGTCGCCGATACAAACTTTCGGATGTATGTTGGTATCAAGGACTCGGGCGCATTTCAACATTCGTCCTTCCTACAGGGTAGTCGAATTTCATCAGCAGGTCTCATCAAGATCAAGAATGGTCGACTCTCGTCCTTGTCTCCGTTAAGTGGACATTACCGCCCTCCAGCAAGTAACTTCCGCGCTTTCGTCCATAGTCTTCGCCAGTCTGAGGTGGACATGTCCCACGTGTCTATCTCCAAGTCGTACGTGGTGCTCATCGGTTTGGAGTCATATATCAAGACCAAGCGGAAGGGCAAGGATTTAGCGCAACGCGTGTCACACAGAAAAGACAAAATTGTGGCTCCTGAAGAAGCAGCACGCCGGGAGGAGGAGGCCAAGGACAAAAGTGAAAGCGCAGCGAAAGAAAGAGAGGTGCTTCAACGAGAAGAGGAGGAGAAACAAGAGGGCAGGCCAGTGAAGAAGGTCTTAAAGAAGCTCGGTATCAAGCCAACAAAGGAGGAGAAGCAAGCTTCCAAGAGAGAAAAGAAGGAGGATGTTGAGGAAATGCATGTGTGAAAGGAACATTGTAGGCGGCGTGGTTTTTTATTCTTGATATAATACCCCAAGCATAGATAGAGCAGTGCTCGAGTTATGATTCACGACCTTGAGCACGAATACCCCTAGTTTTACGATCAACTTGCAGTATAATCGAATTATAACGTCGATACAATATTGTATAAATAAATAGCACTGCTTGCTTCTTTCCCATCAAGTGCACGCATGACTTAATGATTATCTTTGGCAGTTAATTTGTATGTAGCATAGGCAGTAGATCAAGGAGATGATCACTTGAATCACGGATAGCCTGGTGGGTAGCAGAAAAGTTGGCGCCATAGGTCTCGGGGCACGAAAATAAGTAGTCTAAGAAGTATGGTCAAAGTACCACAAGCTGATCAGGCAATTTCGTTTCTTGTGCCTCCAGCCGCGAACTTTTTTGACGCCCTGATTATATATAGCCTTGTTTGACGGGACATGCTCGTCGGTAATTCAAGAATGCTTGTACACGATGAGTATGATTCAGATCAGCTTTATCAAGTACGCGTGGAAGTTAGTTGTCGTGATAACTTTATCAGTGTGATGTATCAATTGAACTGTGTTGTATTATGACTACTATTAACTGAGGACTAAGGTATGGAGTGAGAGACGTAGTCAGTTTCAGGCTTTGAGAATCACGTACAACCACGAAATCGTGATGTATTGAGTTTCTGACCTGTGCAGACAGATCAACCTTGTAGTGAACAATCTTGAGTATAACGAGAAGGTTTTGGATTTGGTTCAAGGCATAAACACATATAAATAATTCAGACAATTTATTTAATTGTATTCATGTTGAATATGTTTTGGGGCCAAACACTTTCATCCATTGATATTTGAATGCTCGCACTAGGTAGGCACGGGAGACTTTAGCGTGCATAGGCCCTGTAAGCCGCGTTTGTCAATGCGCTGCAGAGGATTATGCAGTGCCATCCCCCTAAAGTACAGCGCTATAAAACATCAGGTAGGCATCCATTAAGGGGGTATCTGGAGCCCACTCCAGCTTCCGTTTGACTGCAAACGTTCATCGCACCAGAGACGCCAAACCCATCGAAAAACCCCGTCAGAGTCGAGGCGCCATCGCCAAACCGAGCCGGCGGATTTAAAGAAACATAGCCTTGAAATCATGCCAGGCATCTCGACATTTACCAATGGCTTCCGTCACCCGTTCATCGCGGCGCGCTGAAGTTCCGCATCAGCATCATCATCACTCGCACCACCACCTGCCATCCCCAGCAAGCGTATTTGCCCACACCCAGGGCGGAGGAGCACCAGGGGCAGGGCGCAACAAGAGGGCACTCGATGCACACGATCGCGACTTTGATGCGATTAAGCCCAAGAAATCGCGTATAACAGTCGAAGTTCCTGCAAAGGGCTCCCACAGACTTCGTGTCGCCAACATCGACAACAAAGAGGCATCGTCGCCCGCGCGCCAACCCACTGCGACGCCTACAGTGGCGACTGTGACGACGCCAAAGATACCTTCTCCCCCGACCGACAACGCGACATCGACGCCAAAGCAAGAACAGACCCTTACACAACACCAAAGCAAGGTCATTAATGGCCTAAAACACGAACTCGACCGATTACAACCTCAGCCAAGCGATACCAACACAAAAGAACAAGGCCGGAAGCTTCGCTCTCAGGAAGCCACCAGGTTCAAGAGCGAGCTTTCTGCCTATTTCTCTGATTACGATGAGGTAATTGGCAACGAGCCCAAAGAACAACGTACGTGAATGAACTCCCTGTCGCTCACCTTTGCGTCGCTATCTTATGATGCCATGTTCTGACACTTCTTTTTAGAACTGTTCACTGCCGAAACGCCGATAGTCATTGTCGACTCTGACGCACGACGCGCAGTCTCAGACAACCAACGCGCCATTCCGCAGCATCCCAACCCCGCAACTGAGTATCCCGTACGTGGATTTGGCGATGCATTGTTTTTTAATGTCTTTGATTGTCAGCAAATCGACCTGGGATTTTTAGAATCCAAAAATAAGACAGTCGAAGATCCTTTGCCAGATAAATTATTTCAACCAATACATCGTCGAGCTGAGCGACTGGAAAGATCAGTACGCAATGCTGAAAAAGGTCGAGCTCAACATGAAAAAGACCACATTATCCGGCTTCTCGAGGGCCTGCAAGGCCACGATTGGTTGAGAGTAATGGGCGTGAGTGGAGTAACAGAAACCAAGAAGAAGACGTTTGAACCCGCTCGCAATCACTTCATCAAAGGCTGTCAGGCCGTCCTTGACAAATATCGGAACTATGTTCTGGAAGAGAAGAAGCGCAAGATGGAGAAAGACAGAGCTCGAGCCGAGAAAGAGCATGAAGACTCGAGTATCGATGAAGACGAAACAAGCGACGAGACGGCTGATGGCAATGTTAGCGACTCAGCATCACCGGCAAAGCAACTTCAAGAGGAAGCAATGGCGAGGTCTAGATCCTCAAAAGGATCCAAAAACCCCAAAGCGACGCCTCAGCCAGCTGCAGCTAAGGCTCCGCGTCCTGCAAAGGCACCGCCCGCTCTAAAGCCACCAGAACCGCCTAAAGAGTTCAAGTCATTCTTCGCAAAGCGATACGAGCGTGACAGCGCTCTAAATAGGAACAGGCGTACAGGAAGAAAGGTAATGGCATGGGGCCTACCCATTCCTGAGATACCTGATGTTGATTTTGATTTACCGGAGGAATACCGTGATGAAGATACCCTCAAGGTCCGGGCGAGGAAGAAGCGCCGGGACCGAAGACGCAGCAAAAAGTGATGAGAATTTGCTTGCTGTTTGTAACATATAGCGAAGAGGTCACGGAAGTCGGTTTATGTACATATGGTTTGGCGTTTAGGTAGGCAAGGAAGGATCTGAGAAGTCCTGGCAGGAGCAAAGGTATTCCAGTCATTGGGTGTGGGTTTATGTAGTCTTGATAGTTACTATCAGACGATGTGTTGGGGATAATATCCTTTCCAAACAAGTAGCAGACCCTGATACCAACGATGGGCGACGTCTTTTGGTGGTACTGAAGTTTGGTTTAGTGAAGGCTGAGATTTGTGAGATAATCATGGGCTGTAATTGCCATATGGCAAGTGTTTCAATATTATAAAGTCAACAAGTGTGACAATAGAACCATAGGGCGGCACTTAAACTTAGCGCAATGTTGAGATGATAACTTACTTAACTGTCACCAATATGCTATAGGAGATCGAGCATCCCATACTATTGTTCTGAAGATATTCAAAGCTGTTTGTTGTTTGGAGAGTGGGTCTACAATGGGAGCCTCATTAAGCAGGCAAGTGGCCCGTGCACGATAAGCTTCCTGCAACGCGCCGCGAGCTGTCTTTACACTTTGCAAAGTGCACGGCAAGAGGCACCAGAGGGTTCTTTTTTTTCTAGCCTTGCGCGTGTTTGCGCTTCTACAGCATTTCACTTTCTTATCCCACATTTTTGCTCTATATTTCTTCCCAAAGTTTCTAATTACCACTCTCTTGGCGTGCTTTCCATTGGATCATCTCCGCTACCCCCGTTGAGATTGCGCCTCGAGCGAAACCTGCGACTGCACGACGAATCCGATACTGATTACAGACACACCCAGCGAGTTCGAATCTTCTATTACCTTACGCACAAAGCCTGTATCGCCATCGATGCAGTGGTCGTGAATACGAGCTCCAAGGGGCCCCTCCGGCCGTGTTTCCTATACGCTGCAAACCACCAGTCGACATGGCTGCCCTTGCCATGCCTCAGGCTCCTGAGCCTCTGAATCACTCTCTTTTGGATGCGGATGACGGAACAGCTTCTATGGACGATGCACCGGTCCTCGAATTTTTTGTTCTCAAGCAAGAAGTTAACCTCGAAGTCAACTTTCGCGACAAGCGCATCGACGGAACAACCGATATCTTCCTTGTAACATTTAACGATAAGGTCGACGATATAGTATTGGATGCCGCCGACTGCGAGATCGATACCGAAAATGTCTACGTTGCCGAACTTCGAGAAATCAATGGTGATATTGTTGAGGGCCAAAAGCGAAAGACTGCCGCGACCTACAACGATCCGTATGCGAAGCTATCACATCCCGCAAGCTGGAGTTTGAGGGCCGACCATCACGATATTCGCCGCAAACGCGCCCAGTCTTTGTTCAGCAGCCGAAAGAAAGATGTCCCCGCCGAACATAGAGAGTTCGCGGGGTGCACCCCAGTCTATCGATCGCTCAAGGTGAATTTGCGCGGTAAGGCCGAGCCAGATCGCCCGAGACTCATCATCAGAAAGTCGATGTTAAGTACCGAGTCGGCCGAGAAATCCAACAAGCAGTACAAGATCACCATACCTTTTACCAACGTAAACCCGCGAGACGGAATACAATTTGTCGGTGTTGACCCCCTGGACAACCGATTCACGCACATGTACACTCGAAGCTCAATACACCCGGGGACTGCATCTTGCATCTTCCCATGTGTGGATGATCATGGATCACGGTGCGACTGGAAGATATCAATAAAGTATCCCCGCACGTTGGGTGATGCTCTACAACAAGCACTTGCAACGCAGCAGAATGGCAATAATCCAGACAAGATGCAGATCGATGGCCAAGAACGAGCCTCCAACCTGGCTGAAGAAGATAAACTTCGGGAAATGTCAGTCGTCTGCTCAGGGTTCCTTATGGAGGAAACAGTCGATCCCGAGGACGACCACAAAAAGATCATGACTTTTGAGCCCGAGAAGAAAGTATCCTCGCAGAAGCTTGGCTTCGCTGTAGGTCCCTTCGAGCATATCGATCTATCCTCCGAATTTCGAACAGAGGAGGATGAGATGAAGCTGGGCATGAACGCACTCAAAGTGCACGCCTACTGCCTACCGCACCGCGGCGACTGGGTTCGCAATACAGCAGCAGCTATCACCATGGCGGCCGATTTCTTTACCTTCACGTTCGCTCGATATCCCTTTGGCAACTTCAAGCTGTGTTTCCTCGACGATATGGTTGAAGATACGGTGTCATTTTACTCCATGGCTTTGATCAGCAATCGCTTATTATTCCCAGACGACATCATCGACACAGAGATAGATGTCACTAGAAAGATCGTCCAGACGTTAGCTTATCAATGGATCGGCATCAACATGATACCCAATACGAGAAATGACATGTGGCTCATTATCGGCATTGCGCATTATATGACCGACCTTTTCATGAAGAAATTGTGCGGAAACAACGAATATCGATTCCGGATGAAGACTTTGTCTGACAAGCTCGTTCAGGTGGACGTTGACCGACCTTCTCTCTATGATCTCGGTGCTTACCTCCACCTAGGGGAGTTCGAGATGGACTTCATGGCTCTCAAAGCTCCAGTGATTTTCTTCATCCTTGACAAGCGGCTTATCAAGGCTTCAGGAGGACATGGTCTGACCCGCATCCTATCCAAGATGCTGACAAAGGTTCAAATTGAGGGTTCTGACAAGGCCACTATCCTTGAAACGGAGAAGTTCCGAGCAACGTGTGAGAAAGGAGCCAAATACCGACTGGAGAGTTTCTGGAATCAATGGGTTTATGGTTCAGGCTGCCCCCGATTTGATGTCAAGGCGAAATTCAACAAAAAGCGATTATGTGTTGAGCTTACATTAAACCAAATTCAGTCCCAGACGATCAAGAGAGCCCCGCTGGAGAAGGACGACTTTCTACGCGTTGTCAAGGAACGTCGATCTGGTGTCAAGGCAGGCGAGGTTCAGCCCTTATTCACGGGTCCGATGACTGTTCGAATACACGAAGCTGATGGAACTCCCTACGAGCACATTCTGGAGATTCGTGAAGATGCCACAAGATCCACCAAATTCGAAATCCCATACAACACAAAGTACAAAAGACTCAAGAGAACCCGGCGTATGAAAGAGAAGCAGAACGTAGGCGCCAGCATGGATGCAGAGAACCTGGATGACACTCTGTTGTATTGCCTGGGTGACGTTCTCCAAACACCTGATGAGCAGGCCCAATGGGAGTTGATCGATTGGGATCCAGACACCGAACGAAAAATGGATCAGGAATCCTATGAATGGATCCGCGTAGATGCTGACTTCGAGTGGTCTTGCGATATGAAACGGACACTGGAACCATACATGTACGTGTCGCAACTGCAACAAGATAGAGATGTTGTTGCCCAGCAGGATGCCATGCTGTATCTTACACACGGCCCTTTACACCCCATAGCATCAGGTTTCCTCACCAGGACTCTTGTGGATCGCCGTTACTTCCATGGCATTCGAACCATGGCTGCTGAGGCACTACCAAGACAAGCCAACATCAAGGACTTGTCAATGCTTGGTCTTCGACAATTGATGAAGGCTTTCAGCGAAATGTTTTGTCATAAGGGAACAAATCAACCCAAGCCAAACGACTTCTCGGACAAGAGACAGTATAACGTCCAGTGTGCCATCATCAAGGCCATTGCACAAGTCAGAGACGCAAACACATACAAATGTCCGCTTGAAGCTCGTCAATTTATTCTTGACCAACTCCTCTTCAACAATAATGAAGACAATCCCTTTTCCGACCATTTCTACATCGCGACTCTTGTGGAAGCCCTTGCGACTTCTCTTATCCCTTCCAAACAAGACGATTGGTTTGCCATGCAAAATAAGATCCCCAACGAAGAGGAAAAACAGTTCCTGGATAAGGCCATCGAACAAATTGAGAGAGTTCTTCGCCGGGATGAGTGGACGAACTCGTATCAGAATGTCTGGACCATTGCTGGTCTCAGTGCAAAGCAGCGGCTCATGAAAGCAGATGTGATCCCAAAGAAATATGGTGACTTTGGTCAGTACCTTCTCGATGGTACAAGGGATCTCATCCGTATCAAGGCGTTTGAAGGTTTAATCGACTTGGGGGCTATGTTGGATCCTACGGTGTTTTCGTTCTTGACCTATGCCCTCATTACCGACCGTTCACCGTACGTTCGAAATAAACTCATCGAGGCCGCTGCTTCTGGACTAGCAGCCATCGCTTTCGGGGAGCACACGAAAGTTACTAAGAATGAACCTCCCCCCGAAGACGAAGAAGGGGATCTGTTGCTTGTGCAGGATAGTGCCCAGGAGATTGAGGCGCGTAAAGAAATGTTCGCAAGGAAGGAGAATTTGGATGCAGCGCTCAAGGCCCTTCGTAGGGAAATGGACCAAACGTATGGAGGTGACGAACGCCACTATAGTACTGCTATGCGTAAGGCGCTGGATCACCCAGATCTTGGCCGGGGCGAGATGGAAAGCATGCTGGATTTGGCTGCGATGATGTTTGAGGAAGCTGGGGATTGGGTTGTCACACTTCCCTTACCAAAGGCCTGGTCAGTGGAGAGACCTGTGCAGCAACTCTCTAATCGCGTAAGTTCTGTGTCTATCATATCACAAGTCTTTGATGCTAACCAAACACAGTTAATAATGAAGTTCAAGGCTCATTACAAGACGAAGCCAAAAGACCCCATCGTTCAACCACTACCCCTTCCACCCCCCGCACCTGTTGCTCCCATTGCTGCGCCTGCGGAGCCTAAGAGACCCGTGCCCTTGCAAAAGACCTCGTCTATCAAAATCAATACGCACAAGACAGCCCCTCCCCAACGGCCGAGCGTGCCGCCTCAACGCCCAAGTGTTGTCGCTCCGGTTCAAAGTCCAAAGCCGAGTCAAACCAAGGGAGAAAGAGACACTATTGTTGCCTCTCCTGTCCTTTCTCGACAGCCAAGCGCTTCCTCTTCATCAGGTTCAAAGCCTTCGTGGCCAACTGAGCCTTCCTCTGCCACTAATATCAAGCGACCCCGGCCAGACAAGGATGAACACCACACTCCAGCACCAAAGCGCCCCAAGGTCGAGAAGCCCTTTGGCGCCGATTCTGGCGTTCCCGCTGCTAAGAAAAAGAAGAGGCGCATGGTTAGGTTCAAGGTTACACCACATCGCCTTGCCAGCGTGATGAAGGACCAGAGGAAACCCATTAGTAATGGGCGAACGTCACTACCATTAGGCGGCTCTAGAGATGCTCCTCCTCCCCTCTCGAACCCAAGATCAGATTCGATTACAGCTAAGCCGGCAAGAAAACCCCTTCCAACAGGTGACGTGGTACGAAGGCCCTTGCCTGGAGGCCCTGCGTCATCACCGCCGGAAAGAAAGATTTCTTTAAGCACACATTCAAACTCAACACCGAAGCCCAAGTCTGCGAGCCCTGCGACAAGTACGCCACCCCCTGGAGCACCGCCCCCTCAAAGAACGAAGATCAAGATTATCAGAAAGTCGAATCCACAGCCACCACCGGCTCCCTAGGAAGAGGCAGATGAGATTTCATGCCCCAAACTTCCAGTGCGCCCCAAGCCGTCATCATGGAAGCGGACGAAACCAAATACATCACGTTCTAACAAGAAATCACCATCACGCCACGTGGGGTCACGGATTTAGTGTTCAAGGGATTATAAAAAGAAGAAAACGAAGAAACTTCTCTTTTGGTATGAAAAGGTGGGAGAGGATCGAGGTGCTACATCAAAGTTGGGTCGTGGTGTTTTAAGTACGAGAAATAGGAAACGAAGGTCTTCCGTAATTGCATTTCCAGGCGTTGGGAGCGCGGTATAGTGTCCTACACGCGATGAGAAGTAATGAGTGTATAGGTAGTTTTTTTTTTGGTTGTATCCATTAAGATATCCTTCCAGCACTGGTTACGATGAGGCCTGTGCGACGGTTTTGTGAATGATGTATTGTAATCAACAATGAATAATTAGGTGAACCCTTGCCAAGTCTTGTGAATTATATATCTTGTGAATTATGTGAGGAAACTAGGCTATTGGTTTCCTTTCCCCATCTAAGCCATCGGAGCTAATATACGCTGTTGTTCCCAATACCACCTATGAAGCACACGCCATGAGACTCTACCTTTGTACATCAGATGAAATTGACTCAAGCCACCGGGAAATCTCCTAACGATCCGAGCCATGTCCTTTCTCTGTTTGGGCTTCCAAGAAGCTTTTTCTTAGTTCAAACCTTTGTTTACCATGCTTTTTAATAAGACGATTGTGCGCCTTCTGAGCGAGATCCTGATCCTGCTCTTCCTTTTCATTGGCAGGAGATCGGCTGAAGTCTACACTCATTGAGAACTTCAAGTCTCCGTCATCACGATCCGTCCATATTCCTTCGTGGCGGGAGGGCACCTCGCAGCCTTCGCTTAAATGCTTCATGACAAGAAGCGCCATTTTCCCAGGTGTAAGGGTTGTGCGCCTGAGACCTTCGACAACAACGCGACGTGAGAATCCTTCTAATTGGTAGTGAGAAATCCATTTTTGAATTTCCTGAGAATTAGACGGATCTGAACCGCGAGGCAGGCTGTCTCGGGGTGGTGGCTTCCGAGGAGTTGGATTTCGGGATGAGTTGAATGATGTAGGAATAGAGCGTCGAACTACAGATCGGGCAGTCGGGTTTGAGTCGGCTTTGGTTGAGGGAACAGCTCGTCTGAGGGTTAATTCGCTTGTCAAACTGTTGTCACGTTGCCTCAACGACTCGAGACGTTTACTAGCCGACGGCCTCTCGTGATGGCTTGTGTCCAGATCGAACGGCATTGGCGTAAAATCCATTGTTTCGCCCTCTGGAGGAGTGCTTTCCCCGAACTGATGCAGAGTTTCCCGTTGGGGAATCACCGATATTCCAAGCTCTGGTGATCCCTCTACATGAGGAGGGAGCGGAGGAAGATGTTGCGAAGCTTCGCTCTCGCCGACATAATCTTGCCATTGAGAGCTCACAAGAGCACTGGGAGAGGGGTTTCGCGCGGGGACCACCTCAGGAGTCAACTCAGCTTCTGTTGTTGTTGGTATCTCCATATCTGGATCAAAGCGCCTTCTTTTCCTTGCATTGTCAGATGAGGTGAGCTCGCGGTCTGCGGACCGCTTCAAGCCAGAAATAGTAATAGGCGGCGAACTTCGTTCATAGCTTTGCGGTGGGCCTTCATCTTGGACATCTTCCCAATCGGTTTCCTGAGTGAGGCTCATCCCAGGAGCTGCTTCTGGGTCCGAGGCGGGTTCTTCCTCTTTGACATGTTCTTCGTACATATCCTCCTCCTCCTCCTCTTCGTCAGTATTAAAATCCCTTACGGATCTCAAAAACTCCTCAAGACTCTCTTTAAAGAAACGGAACACCTCGCTAATCGTGTACGCATCTGGATTTTCAAATCCCAAATTTTCAGTGACTTTTGCCCAGTCGATATCAATGCTGGTAGGATCATTAGTCTCCTGGATAGCCCACCCCAAGTCGAATAGTTCTATAGACGTATCTCCGATTAACCAATGTCTTTTGACTTCCTTCTTGTGTATGTGGAGCCATTGATTAAAGTCCAGATTGAAGTCAACTCTTCCCCTTTCCTTCCTGTCCAGTTCAATAAAGGCTGGATGATGTTGAACAGGACTTTCGACCTCTTCAGTCTTTGGTGGCAATGATGTTTCTTTCGTATGGTCTGGTGCTGTGTCTAACAAGAGAGTGTCTTCTGGGCTGCCGTTCCGTTGTTTCTGAGCAGCAGGCTGTTGCAGGCTTCTTTCAGTCAAGTCGAGCGCTTGTTCCTTTTGAACTGCGTTGCGGTTTTCTGGCGGAATCTCTGTTGATGCAGAAGCTGCCATACGTTCCAATGTGTTCCTGTCAAGGATCACTAACTTCTTGATGAAGCGATCGCGCCATGATTGTGCAGTATGCCGGCCATTCTCGCGCTTGTTAGCTAGTGCTTGGTGGATATAGCAGTGAAACTTACAATTTGTTCGTATTCTTGCCAAATCCTATTTCCTTTTTGCTCCGTCGGATGATCCAGGGCCCACCTCGCGATTCTTGCATCGTCCTCCTTAGTAAATGGGGTACGGGTTGATTTGGAGGGATGACTGCCCGCACGCCTGGGCTCCTCCGGGTGCCTTTCTATTAGATATTGATCCTTCAATTGGATATATCCATTCTTGACAGAGTCGTCGATGAACTTCCACGAGTATGACTTATGCGGAGCATGCTTTGGTATGGCATGATCCGCAATAAGCATATCAGCTTGCTTTTCCAGAGACACTACGCTGCCGCCATTTTGCTACCGTGTATTAGAAACAGTGTGCAAGTAAAAGATGTAGACATACTTTGATTTGTTCTAACAGGACAGATCTTATAGGCACTCGATGCGCCACCCAAAACTTGACGTCTTTAAATATCGTTCCACCCTCGCCTTGCACTCCATCGTATACCACCGTCGTCATGATCGCTGGTAATCCTTCTGTTTGGGACTTATTTTCTGATCACTCATAGAGGAAGGAAAGCCGGTCGGGCTGGTGGCTATCAGAAAAGTTGGCCTTTGAGCTTAGGCTACAAAAATAAACAGCCCAAGAAGTCTTGTCTAAATATCATAAGGTGACTCTCATGCGGCTAGTGGCTCAACTTTTCTGGTACCCTGTGGCCAGGGTATCTTGTTCTAATGGGGATTTGGTAGAGTAATGAAAAAGAGAAATTTCATCGCGTGATGAGAAGCGCTTCAAACTTGTGATATCTCTGGTTGCCGCCTGCAGCGTTGATGTCCTTTACGGGTAAGTGACATGAATGCTAACGTCGCGTTGAAAGTATCGCGCATTCACGTGCCACTTAAAGAATGTATATTCGCTTATCCGTGTTTTGAATTTGCCTATATGCATAAATCAAGATTTGGTTAAACTTGAGTCCTAATGGCACCTAAAGGTGTGATGCAGGTACGGGACCGTCGGGGAGACTGTTGATCATAGCGTAATGTGACCTAGACAGAAAGGTGATCGTGCTCAGTTTCTTGGTGCCTTGTTAGTACTTTGGTATTTCATGGTGACGCTCTGTTCCTGCATGTCCAGTCACATTAGAACCCACATGATGTTGGCTAGACCGCTTGTCGGACATCAACAAGTTCAGACTCTGAGTAGGTATAAACAAACATTATAAGTGACTGTTGGTGAAGAAGTGGCATGAAGGAACCAACATATATTGATTTCGTTTCTTTGTTCTCTTGTAAATCTCTAATTACCAACAGAGACGACGTCACATCCAATTGGGTATGTGTTATCGATAAGAGCAAAACCAAGTACCCGGGCTATCCCCGGTTGGGCTCCAGCTTGGACTTTAGACGGTGGTTGCCATGGTAGCAACCAGAAACTGTTTACTTCCAATCAGAGCTGAGGCCGTGGGACGACGGGCCAGGATTATTTGGGTCTAAGCTGCAAGTTGCACCATCAACGCAAAATAGATCCATTTACTTGAAGCTTCCCTTTTCCCTCCTCCTTCTCCTCCTCTCTTCTTCAACTCTCACGCCATCTAGTCACTTTACTAACCAAAGCAGGTCGTCTTTGTGCTTTTCCAGTCTCTTTGTTTCTTTTCGCATCTATATTGGCAATCGCATTCACACTCACACTTTCACGGCTTAGCGACAACTTGTTTGAGTGCATGGGTTGAGATCGATACTCGACCGTGAATAACTTCATCATGTCTTCCGAGGACAAATACGAAACGTTGGAGAAGATTGGTGAGTTTATCCGGACAAGAGAAGTCGTTGCAATTGCCAATATTCAAATTACTCGGCTTTCACTTCTAATTGGGGGCCAATTCTAACTCACCGTCTTCTTCCAGGCCATGGCTCATTTGGCATCATCCGCAAAGTCCGTCGCAGGACAGACGGCTTCATCATGTGCCGCAAAGAAATCTCCTACCTTCGTATGTCCCAAAAGGAGCGCGAGCAGCTCCACGCCGAATTCCAGATTCTGTCACATCTGCGACACCCAAACATCGTCGCCTACTACCACCGAGAACATCTCAAGGTTAGCCAGGACTTGCATCTCTACATGGAGTACTGTGGCAATGGAGATCTGGGTCGTGTGATCAAGGACCTTGCGCTGAAGGGCCAGAGAGCTCAGGAAAGCTTTGTCTGGAGCATCTTCAGTCAGCTGGTCATGGCACTCTACCGGTGTCATTATGGTGTTGACCCCCCAGAGGTCGGTTCCAATGTTCTGGGCTTGGCACAGGGGAATGCCGCTGCTGGACCCAAGGTTCCGGCTGGAACCATGACTATTCTACACCGCGATTTGAAACCCGAAAATGGTGAGACATTAACCGCATACTCTGTTCAAAATGCAATTGGCTAATCAAATTTAGTCTTCCTTGGTGAGGACAACTCCGTCAAGCTTGGAGACTTTGGTCTCTCTAAAATGATAAAGTCCCACGATTTTGCCTCCACTTACGTTGGCACACCTTTCTACATGTCTCCTGAGATCTGTGCCGCCGAGAAGTACACCCTCAAGTCCGATATCTGGTCATTAGGCTGTATTATCTACGAACTTTGCGCACGCGAACCTCCTTTCAACGCCAAGACGCACTTCCAACTAGTGCAAAAGATCAAGGATGGCAAGTTTCCTGCCTTGCCCGATGTCTACTCTCCCGAGCTCTACCAGGTCATCAAGGACTGCCTCCGTGTGAACCCTGACCGACGACCTGATACTTCAGAGCTGCTGAACCTGCCAGTGGTTAAGCTGATGAGAAAGGAGAAGGAGGTTGTGGACCTCAACAAGTCTATTCGCCTAAGGGAAGATTCTCTCCGTAAGAAGGAAAGGGATCTCAACGATAGACTTGCCAACATGGAAAGGGAGAAGGAACTCATCCGAGAGGAGCTGGACTCATCACTACGGAGAGAGTGGGAGGTCAAGGCGCGCCTCGAGATTGACCGCCTCGCCAACGCAGAGATTGAGCAGCTCCAGAACCGATTCGAAGAGGAAGTGCAAGCACGCGTCGAAGTAGAACTGCAGAAGAAGGCAGCATCATATGCCAGCTCAAGACCTAACAGTCGAGAGGATGAGTATACGACATCAGCGGGTAAGACCGACTACCCTCACTCATCCGTTGGCGGCAGTGAAGTTGAGTTTCCCTCAGCGACGGATCTTACCGAGTACTCCATCGAAAGCCCCGAAGCGCCTCGGGAGACTAAGAAGACGGCTCGCACACCTTTTGGCCGTGCGCAAACAATGTTTGTGGGCAACCCTGCCGGTACGCCTATGGATATCGAGATGAACTCGCCCAGTCCTATCGCGATTGCGTCGCTTTCTCTCTCACCACGTCGCAATGGAAACACCAAGGCGCCTACCGCTGCATCTGGCAACATCTTCGCCGTTAATGCCAACCGAAGTGCTGACAATTCTCGATGGGATCTCCGCGACACTCTGTCCGATTCTGAGGACGAGGATGTCATGCCATCGCCGACACGCAATATCAAGTCTTCCAAGAACCCGTTCACCTCCAAAACTCGCCCTGTTTTGACCTCTCAGAAGTCGGCCCCTATCAACCGTTTGAAGTCTCAGCCTTCAACCTCTGGTTTTGTTTCCAAGCAGGTCTCCCAGCCCGAGGCTCCTAGATCTCCTCGACGCCTGAGCAAGATCCCCTCTGCCGCAAACCTTCAGGCCGAGAGCAACAACTCCAGCGGAGGAGGCTTGACACGCCAATCTTCCCTCAACAGGAAGAACAACCACTCGGACGATGGCTTAGGCAAGGTCGCAGCTAAGAACAACATTCGAGGCCGTACCCTCGTTGAGCTTCAGCAAGCTCGGGCCGGTGGCCGCCCTATGAGCGCCATCGTCATGCCCAGCACTGGCGAGAATGTGAGCCCTAAGAGGGCATTCCGAGATCGCATCGGTGCTGAGCGTAAGTCGAGCGGCGACGAGCCTGTGGCTGTCTGGGACCCAGAGCGAGACGAGATGCCTAGTCCTTTCCTGGTACGACAGCGACGTATTGCCCGGGTGTAGGCCGCCTCTGTTAGCAGTCGCATAAAAGAAGTAATGATGAAAGAGGAGTAGTGGTTTTTTACGGTTTTGTTTGTTTTTTTACGCATTAGAGGCGAGCATGATGATACTGCTTTTCTAGGGTCTGCGTTACTCTTACATACCTCTTTTACCCGTTGTTTTGATTCCCCTTGCACATTCTTCCTCCCTTCATATATGAGGGCTTGGAAACGAAACATGGAAAACACTTATGGGCGTTTTTGGCGCGAAACACACAAAGGGATCATGGCATGACTTGCATGGAATGGGCTCTTGTTTATTTTAATGAATGCTCTGTCAAAGCTATTTGTTTCTTCATGGATAAGTACATTTGACATTGTTATCATGATTGATTGATTGGAGGATTAAGTTGATTTGATGATGGCGTTATACGTCTGCGATTGGATGCACCTTTTGGGGTTCGGATTGGATTGTCCTTTTAACTTTTATGTTTTCATTTTAGACGTTGTACAAAAGACAATGATACTTATTCATAATTTCGTGTCTCCAGTTTGCGAATGATTTGGCCCCCAAAGTGTCAGACAGCCTAAGGTCGCTGCTCATAGGAACGCATCAGCATATCGAGTTTGGTCATCATCCAATGAGATGGTAAACCGTTAAAGTGCATCATCTTTGTGCAGATGAACCCTTGTCTGTTAAAACAAATCAACGCCATTGGGCAATTAATCGTCATGAGAATGAATGCATACCCAACTTACACCAACTCAGAAACCCAATAATTACACTGGTTGTTAACATCCCGCCTCATTTATTCAAGCCCAATGAATCTAACATTCAACATTAACTCTTATTCTTATCATAAATCAGATTGTTTTATCCGGTTTCGATGCCGGCTTTGTTCTCTCACGTACGTCAGCACATATTACTATATAGCCTTTAGTGTTGGGCAGCACTGCGTCTCCGTCCAAATTCAATGCTTTATCCCACCTCGCTTGCATATGCGTCTTCAGAGCTGCACCCCAGAGCCAGTCGTGCAGATGAGGCGTTCAACTGCGTAGTGACACGAGTTAAGGCGTTCTCAAAGAGTCAGGTTGCGGTGAGAGGCTTTGTGTCAAGTACCTTCATTGGCAGGGACACCCATGCCTGGTATTATTGACATCACATCATGAGAATCAAGGTGGGTTTGACGGCAGTCTCAAAAGCAAAATGCCGTGGTAAATATTTGCAATGCTAGACAAGATCCAAAGGGGTATTTTCTCCGTGCGTAAGCTTTAAGACTAGGTTTGTTTGAGTAAGGTAAAAAAGAAGAAGAAAAACGAACTGAAGCAATCAACCAAAAGTTGAAGGCACGCGAATATGCATACAGATAACCAAAAAAAAAAAAAAAAAAAAAAAAAAAAATCAGGCGCTATTCAACGCCGAACAGCATTAATCCATCCCAAATAAAAGAGGACATGGATAATAACGAGAAAAAGAAGAAAAAAACATTAAAATAGACCAGGCCGCGAGGCCAATTCCATCTTGCGTAGACGTAGCGTAGCGTGTTGTAGCCGTGAGGCTTATCAATCTTCTCAACTTCCCACGTTCCAGGCCTCCTTCATCTTTATTCCATCGTAATGCAAGACTTAGCCCGAGCAGAATCATTAGCACGATGTAGAATGAGCACGGCGGTCCTGTTTAACCCGCGTGGGACTTTGTCTCTTTTTGAACACATTTTCCCATCTTTCTTTTTCCAAACTTTTCGTCTTTTTAAAAATTCGTTTTTACTGTACCGAGAATTGTAAATGAGTGGTCCCTGACCACAATCTGTTGGTGGGGAGGTAGAGTGGTTGTTTAATGCCTTGAGCGGTGAGAGCTGCTGTGACGGTGGGAGTGGCCATGACTGCGATGTGACGAGGAATGATGTGACGATGAGTGCCGATGATGTCGGCTGGAGCTACCGCTGCTCTCGAGGTCTCTTTCTAAGCTCTCAACTCTTGACCTGTAACCCTTGACAATCTCCTTGATGTGAGCGATACGATCAAAATCCACCTCAAGCTCATCCAGCTGCTGAAGAATCTCGGTATAACGAGCAATTTCTGCATCGGCACCGCCAATGATCCCATCAGCTTCGTCGTACTGCAGTTGAGTGAAACGCTGCGCTTCGTGGCTCAGGTAGTTGATCCGTTGCTCGATACTGGCCATGAGGTGGTCGAAGTAACGACCTAACGCAGAAAGTGAGGTGCTGTCAAGTAGTAGAAGGCCTTGGCTGCTTGCACGACTGGCGGCGCGCGAGCTGCTGGACCCCCCTCCCAGTGCCGCCTGCCCTTGGCGAAGCAGCTGGATCTCCTCGTTTGTAAGCCCTAGCTGCGTGTCCGGGACAGCCTGTGAAGACATGGCGGGCAGCAGCTGGAAGGGCTGCTAGCTATGGGGTGAGGAGACCAGACGAATCGCAGACTAGGCGGCTGGGATCGATGTTTGGGGGGTCACGTAGAGGTTTTGGCTTTCGGAATCGTCGCAAGACGGAAAATGGGTTGTAGATGCGATACAGGTTGAGCAGGTGGGCGGGGAGAGATTCGTTTGGTGTATAAAACGTCTGCGGCGACTCGTGACATGAGCTGTGTTGAATGGAGAGTGGCCGATGGGCCGGAGAGTGCCTGTCGAGGCGAGTGCTCGAAGGAAACCGTGCCGGTAACGATGCCTGGAGGAAGGGCAAGACGTATAAGAACGACAGCGAGAGAGGGAGGTGGTCGAGAATGACAAAGGCGGCGTAAGTGGGGATGATATCAGATGCGACAATGGTAGGATAGACGAATGTCGTGGTGCGCAGAGCATCATGATATCGAGACCAATACGATCATGAGCATCATCGGTGTAGGTTCAAGGTGGAGTTAGTATGAAGCTGGATGGAGCTCGAGTTTGTATGGTGGATACTTGTCGGCTCGGATCGAGTTGAGATTGATGATTTCGGGGTAGCTTGTGGTTGTATATCTGGAGGGTCCCAGACCTCGGAGCACCCAAGAGAAGAGGAGGAGAGAGAAAGACAGCCGTCGAGGGTGTTGGGTCTCTTTTGGGGAATGGGCGGAAGAAGTGTGGTTGGAGAATCGGGGGAGGAACCCAAGAAGACGGACGGGAGTTGGGCTTGGACTTTTGGATGAGGGTGGGGGACTCGGACTCGAACTCGAACTCGAAGCAATTGTGATGTATCGGTACGTATTGTTTCGTGGGTGCTAAGACGGTTTTCGGTGAGATGAGCAGGGATGATTTGACGAGGGTGTTTACATGAGAATTGCGACCCAAAAGATGTAAAATATTAATTGTTTTAATGGTAAGGTTTCGATGCGATGCGACCAAGCCTGAAAGGTGATGAGTCTCAATATTGATGACGAGTGATAAGTGATTGTTTGGACTTGAGATTAAAGTAAATTAGTCTCATCTCAGTCTTGATTTAGAATTAGACAATGATGTTGAATAAGAGATTGTCTTGAGTAAAGGTAGCGTAGCGTGATGAGAGAGTGGGAGGGGGGATAAGGATAAGGGAAGGTAAAAAGATGGGGGAGGAGCAGCCCATGGATGAATGAGATGGGGAAGGCGGAAAGCGGATAAGTGAGAAGTGGTTGCACAATTTGGTAGAATGGAAGTAAGGAAGGTACCTTGGATTGGAGTTGCACGTGCAATTGATTGATTCAGAAATCAATTGATCAAGTTGAGCCGCGGTCAAACAAGACTCGGATTCTCAACTAATTGATTAATTGATAATGGTTATCAGCAAACAAATTAGTAGTCTTTAAATGCTGGTTGTACCCGACAGAATGGACCCGACACTGATGGACCTGGAGTTGGACTTAGAGGAGCTCTTAAACTTCCCAGCGCATGCGATTGATTGGTAGCGCGCGCTAATTGGAGCTGCTCCCTGTCATTCACTCAAGGTAGATGACGATCACAAAGGTCAAAGACCTTCTTTCTTTGCTTCTGTTATCGCTCGTCTTTTCTCTTTTCAATCGGCTGAGAGACGGTACAAGAAAGAAAAAAAGAGACAAAATAGCGAAAAAAGAAGCAAACAAAACGCCAACAGGATCAATAGCGCAATAAAGAACTGGTTATGCTGGGGTGACCAGCTACCTCTTTGAAACCCGGCCAGGCCAGGTACGTACTGCAATGTGCTGTAACAGTATCGACACCTTTTTAGCCGTGGTCACGAAGTGTTGGTGAGATTATGTTTGAGAGTACCTAGACTTGAAACCAGATTATCAACCGTAATAGATCTCGATGAGAAGAGGAGAGACGAAGAGTTGAAGGGGGAGGGAAGGAAGAAAAAGCAAAGAGTGGCTTCTTTATGAAAATAAAAGAAAAGAAAATCTCCCTTTGACCTCTACCCAAATATCGGATCAAATTTGGTCAGAAGATTAATCATGATAAAGTCCATCTCGGCAACTATCAACCATGATTAAAGGTAATAAAACATACGACATGAGAAACAGAAAGTAGCCTTAAGATCTAGTCATATTGACCGGTTCTTTTCGACAGAGTATCGTGCATAATGTCAAGTTTCTGTGCCTCGTTCGTTTCATTACGCCTTTGCCTTGCCTCGGCTGACCATAAAAGATGTAGGGTTTATCCCAGTCTATAATACATGTTCAAGCCACCACTTTGATGTGCCGCGGGATATTATCAGATCAGTCACCAACTATTAAAATATGATAAGTATATCGGTGAATATGAGGGATAAAGTGTATACTCATCCAAGGTCCCTTATCCTCTACACCATCAGCCCTACCTACTGTACCTAAATTGGTAGGTGATATACTAGACTAGACCAGTAATGAATGCCATGCGCACGTGTATCCCTCGTCCTCTCCACTCACTTGTGATGCATGTACTTTAATTTGAGCAGATCAATCAATCATGACAGATTCTTTTCTGCTCTCTGGCACAAGTAACATGTCTCTCTGTTTTGGTGTATTTGAGACAGTACACAAGCCCAGCGCCTATTAACTTAGCCTGAAACTACTCATCATCACACAATTCTCATATTCATGTCTCATATCCAAGAGAAAAAAGAAACAATTTATCCTTTTCCTCTCTTCCGCTTACATCAATTTCTGCTCCGTCGATCCGGGAATCGGCTTCCAGCTTCCCCGAAACATGAGCCCCTCTCATTATTGGGTGATCACTGTGGCGCGCGCCAGACGAAACATCCCTTCCATTCATCCCTGGTACACCAAGAAAGGATAAACTGCAAGTAATTAATCTCTGATTTTATCCGTTTGTTCGTTTGCTTGATTTATTTGTTGATACGGATGTATCTCCTCTGATTTATAGTGCATGCAGATAGATACCCGCATCTGCATGATGCATCTCCTCCCGCTGCTGACCTGCAGCTTCTTCTCAGCCTCACTCGACATGACGTCTATTTATTGATCAATATCCTATACACACAAGTCTAAATCATATGTCATTTAACCTCGTGACACTGCCGTATCTCGGTCTACGCCTCCCCCGCCTTCAGATGCATCACTCACAATCAGGAGGTTACCATACCTCAGGTTCACGCTCACCCCGAGCATCTTCCTCCCCTTCAGATTTTGCCTGTTTCCTGTCTGTGTTGCATCAAGTGGCACGAGGTCAGCCAAAGGAGCAGCCATGTTTAATGCAGCTTGCCGCTGCAAGTAATACCACCCTTGTTCTGCTGTGTTCTGTTCTGTGCTCCCGTCAACTTCATCCTCTACCCGCTTAGCAATCATCCGTAGATCCGCCATTGAGGGCTGTCGTGTAACAGCTTCTCCTATACAAGGCGCTTGGTGCCAGATTCGTACAATATGCTACTCTACGCTGACGAGATCCTCCTCTAAAGATTAACCGGGGGTGAAGCAAGCGCTGTCAAGAGATTCAGCTCCCTCAATATCAGCATCTACTCAGCTCCGGTTACTTTGAGGGTGGCCAGGTTTCTCAAACCTTCCTCATCGGAGTCTCACCTCCTACTGAGCCAGAACAGCTGAAGTGGCCGTAATTATGTGAACCACTCACACACAGGACGCTGTAAAATTTAAAATCGTTTGCACATATAGAAAACATCCTGTGGTTGCTTGTCTCGTTGTAAACGATTCAAGTACGTACTCGGGTGGTATTAAGCTTCTGGGGTGATACCGCTAAGGCGACTACTCTTCTGTCTTTCTGAATCAGATTGATAGTGCGCTGATAGATATGACCTGCTCTGCTTTATAGTACACGTACTAACTAGCAAACGCCCATGTCGTCGTTGCCATGACTTTGGAAGTCCAGTCACATCTTAGGCCGATAAGAGCTTACTCGTGGTAAGCTGTCTGACTCGTTTCCATTATCAGAAAGTACATGATGTAGGGATGATGTAGCGGTGTTTTTCAATCTTCAAAAGTAGATATAACTTGAGAGCGCAGCAACTTTCCCCGTATAAACCCAATTGTACAACGATAGAGCAAACAATAGAACATTCAGTAAGTCCTTAAGGCCATACAACTAAACAAGATTCCAATAAGATTCTATATCAGAATAAAATCTTAGAGAAAACTGCAATAATGCCGTAATCTTTCTTCATCCTCATCCGACACGATGACCAAGCAATCAAGCAACTCAGAAAGTACGTGTACTATGTCTTACAACTTGTTCCTGATTCGAAGCGGACTCTGCAGACCCCTCTACGATGCTGATGTCGTTGGATAGAAACGATGAGATTGGGATGTGTATTTGATTGCTAGTCTTGCCAATACTGATCCGATCACACCGTTTACTCGCGTCCCTCTCAAGCTGGTCTCGTACCCGGAGAGCTGATGTTCCTCTTTTCAACCTACACCGTCCCTTACTTTATTCAAGGAGGGAGTGTTGTCACGTAGCCATAACAGTCACACTGCCATCCGAAATGAATTGAGTTAACTTTACATGGATGTATTTGATCGACTAGCTTTTGCATGAGTTGTCAGGCTGTGCAAGGCCGTTCATCTCCGCCGTTCCCGTTTGCCATTGGGAGATGAAGTTCCGATTACATATGTCCCTGTTTGTATTCCGTATTCTTATCAAAAATCTTTTTCATCTGGTAATTTCGGCTGCACATCAGGTGTTGAATCTGCCACGAAGCATCCCGGGCCTGTACCCATGACAGTCATGAACGTATACTATCAGCAAGAACACAGCACTCACTCTTTGCCGAAACTGTTGCCTAACAATCATCAGGCCGCTGGACCAGGGCTTGTAGCTTTACTAACTTAATGTATCTTGTACTCTGATCATCAGTCATGGGTAGTATTGGGTCGTCGTAGATTTGTCTCCTTTTGCGCAGCTCTGGGCGATGGGCTCAACAGGCCGTCAAAAGAGGGATGACGATAAGTGTTTTGTATTCTGTCACTGTTGAAACTGATATGGTTACCATAGGCCATTCCCATCTTCTCAATTCATCTGATCATTAGTTCATTCGCTGCTAGATGTTCTGCATCTCCCATCGGAAGTGTACCTGCCACTCTTCCTCTCGGATCAAACATGAGTTCCGTTACGATACAAAATCCGCTAATCTCAAATTCGACTCTGTTTGTCTGTCGTGATGTGGGTTCCTGTCTTCTCCTCAAAGTTTATCGTTACTCCCTAACTATCGCGCAGTAGGTTGGGAGCTCATGGGCACCCATCGTTTACAGAAGGTCACTCCCATACTGCGTTTGTACCAAAGCAAGCATTTAACTTGCTAAATGCCGGCTCCCTCGTCTCGTTGACCCTTTCTGTACACTCACATATTCCCACATCATGTTCATGTCAATGAGTGGCCTCTTATACATCTACATCTCATTATCTCTGTTGGCCAGATCAAGGGACTTTCCAAGTTAGGAATGCCATTGATAGCCCATATAAAACGTAATGTTTTTGGTAAAGATCAAGTTACAAGCAAAATTCATCCAACTTCCGTTTTCTTGTTCAGATCTCTTTCCTCTATGCGAGCTTACAACAGACACAGCTACACGTTCCTCAGAGTATCGGAAAAATTGACCGCTGAAAGCATAAGGGACGAAACTAGTAGGTCACTTTATACTCCTTAGTCTATGGTTCTTATACTACTCATTTATATATCACAAGATTTAGAAGGCCATTTTTTTCTGCTACCCACTAGACATTGTAGCAGCAAACGGCTCTTCAATTAATTATGTAAATACACACACACCCTAAATAATCAAGTCATCGTTGAGACAATGTTGGATAGGTTATAGGGTCTTTTCGTTGAGAGTTTGTTGTCGTCGCAGTCTGCTGAGCTGTGGTTCAGGGTAGCTCAGCACATCACAACACAGGTCCAACAGACGTCTTTGTCACTAACCATGGCAATAAACTTATATTTTCTGTTACTAGTAGTACTCGACCATTTTTCATTACATATGGGGGCATTTTTAAAGGTATTGGAGTGTTTGTTAATGAAAGGCAAGCGAGTGGCATAGCTGTAAATATCTCCAGACCATGACTTTGATCAACAACAGAAGATGTAAAAAACACAACATGCTTGTTCATTTGTATGTAAAGGTATAGAGAATATACTGGATTGAGACAAAACATTATGAATGCCTCTCAATACTGTTATCTTCATACATCATTACCAGTTCTCTATTGCGAGTTACCCCAGGCATTGCGTATTCGAGGGGACTCAACTCCAGACACTCAGACTCACGACATATCTCTACAACATTCTGTCCGTCATATCAGTCATATTCCTGAACAACCCGTATCACTTAGTAGGTAGGCATGACCTTGAACAATTGTCACCAAGCTTGGACCGTTCATTGAACTGAGACCTTTCCTTCAGCTTACGTGGTCGATGCCCAAGTTCTTCTCTCGGAACTCCTTGCGACAACTTACTTCTCAGCTGAGCTGTTAGTTAGCCGACCCGAACTGCTGAATATTCAGTCGGGAGCAGTTGAGACCACATCCTATGCATTTTCGACAGCACCGACCATCAATCACTTGATTGACGCCCTCAGATCGTGGCTTTCTTACATGGCCCCTACTTCTTGGACCGGTGAACCGGTCTAGAGCACTATAGTTCTGTCACTTGTAACTATGCAGCTAAATTCCTATATCACAAACAATCTATCGCACCTGTGTCGACTAGTACCGGCGATCGCCTTATTAACACGAGACATAAAACGCCAATGCATTTAGGCCTAAGCACCCAATCGCGACTTGGAAAACCAATCCACTTTACGTATCTAAATACCAGCAACTGTCAAACTAGCATTGCCAATGTCTATGGTGTCTCGTGAGAATCTTCCACGATCCTTTTTGGCGTTACAAATGGTTAGGAATGAGGCTGGGAAACTGGTTTCAACTCGAAACAACGGAAGCTGTCCCGTTTGATATGGACAAACACTTAACCGAGACAACAGTTTAAAATAATGAACTCGGTTAACGAAAAAGGAAATAAAAAGAAACGAAGAAAGGGAGGGAATTGTCCAAAGCAGCCATGTCTCCGCCAGAACGAAACAAAACATTCCCTTCAGCAACCTCACTAAAAGCAAAAACAACCTCGGAATAAAGACATTCAGGCAACAATAGTCCAAGCTTTTAGTTGAGGCTTGTGCTGAGTATCTACCCGCGCAGCTTGCTTCTCTGGGGTCAAATGTCCGCAAGGGTTTCTGGCTTGTCTCTCCCAGTGTACGCAGTAGGAGGGAACATCTGACTGCGCAATAGAGGCGCCTGAGAAACCAATTAATTTGGCCAGCCTAGTGAGGCTTTGCTTCTTTGCCATCTGCCCCTTTAAACTCGAATGTCGAGTCGTCCGCTAAGACTCCCTATCGCGTATAACGTACAGCATCCAACGAGGGCCCTGGATGACGATCGCAGTATACAGCGTTGATCAGGGGATATCTGTCACTTTTGGCGCAGCGTAACATCGCGTGTTGTATTTACATTTCGGGCTTTCTTGCTTTTGAAGTGATAGGCGCTTGACCACAAGCTGGCCCTTGCTCCCGAGACCTGAGACGCTTCGGTTCGGCGTGGGCCTTTAGTGAGCCAGGGCTTAGCGTTCTTTTTTTGCTTTTTCGGGCGGCACAGGCTGTGTGGAATCTGCTTATGTGAGGATGATAAAGCATGTCAACGGGCAAAAAAGAGTACGTACCGATTTGGGCAACGAACGGTAACAACATGCCAGGCCCTTGCCCGATGGTATGATTGGAGATCCATCAATAGCATGACGGATTAATGAGACTTTCTACGCCTACGGTGTCCGAACGAAACCAATGAAGGCTAGTTCTTAATACAACACCGACAACAGGGAACCGAAGCTGATGGGATTGAATGATGTTCAGTTTCCACCGCTCTTCAGCTGACCTCTATCGATTCCCGAAGTCGATCCCGCTTTCGCCAGGACCAGACGAGGCAATGTGACCGAGAAGGAGTTGGGTGATTTCTACGTTATTTCCAGTCCAGTCAGTATGACCCAGCAGGGCGTGGGATATTGAAGAACTCATTTCCAGTGTTGGCAACACTCCACGGCTGCTCAAAGCTTGGCTCAGTAAACTCTGTTGTGTCCTTTACGATACTTGCGATGCGACATGACCTGAGGCAAAAGTCATCACGGAACGTCGAGAAGCCTGGTCACGACCCTGTCTAGTGAGCACATCTTACATGAATGGTGCTGCATCGTCAAAGTTTCTTTGTCTCTCCTGAGTCAGTTTGCCGCAGAAAGTTGGCAGCCTGGTCAGATTGAAGCTGGGGAACGTTGGGATAATAGTCGGTTAGGCGGCAAAAGCAAATA